CAGTGTTTGTAATTCATCAAATAAGATTACTTAAAAAATAGTTTATAAAATGTCTTCTTTGAAATGTCTTTCTATGAAATGTCTTTTTTGAAATGCCTTTCTATGACATGTCTTTCTTTGAAATGTCTTTCTATGAAATGTCTTTCTTTGAAATGTCTTTCTATGAAATGTCTTTCTTTGAAATGTCTTTCTATGAAATGTCTTTTTTCAGAAAATGTCCAATTACACCGTTTGTTAGGTCTAAAAAGTTCTAAATAACCCTATATTATACAAATTTAAACTTCTAAAAAACGAAGACGATATTTGAAAAGGTTTCCATTGTTTGAATATAAACACTGTCCTATAATTTACATCTCAAAAAATGTAAAGGCACAGGATTTTATTCCTCTTATATTGTTCTGTAAAGGAATTGAGTCTTTGCCACAAACTCAAATTTTATTAAACCTATATCTTTGCAATCTGAAGGTGTAAACCTTGGATATTTCAAACTTAGATTATTTTACATATGTAACAAAATTCATATTTTGAAATATCTTATGTCTATAACATTTGGTTGATAAAATATAGAGATCCAAAAATCAGAGTTTGTGGCAAAGACTCAATTCCTTTAATAATCCCAACATCAGAAATCCCCCAATGAAAACAGGAAACTGTGCAAACTATGATGAACGAAGAAAGAAATGGTGACATGTAAACAACATTTTAATGTTAACAAATTTTACTGGAAAGAGAATAAATCTACTTTATTATATGCGTGTTAAGATGGAATTTAAAGAATTTGAGCCGCGGTTTAAATCCGCCAAAACCCGGTTTAAATTAAGCGCCGGCTTAAATCTTGAAACATTTGATACAATTTTAAGTGGAACCAACCATATTTAAACCGCGGCTTAAATGTAAACCGCCGCTCAAATTCTTTAAATTCGTCCATTGATCGTTTTTTTGGTTCGTTTGCTAGATTTTATGAACGTCTGAACCGAATGATCTCAGATTTCATAGGACTGTTTTTAAAACAACAAACGGGCAAAAACACGAAAAAGAGACTATCCTATCCAAAACAATCAAAATCATATAATCTATTTTAGGCTGACGTAAGACAATGGGCCACAAATCTGGGCCAAGTGCCGCTCATAAATTTCACGATTAGGGAATCATTCATTTGGCGTACCGTTCCTTTTTCTCTTACATAGTCTGTAATTGTACTGTCCAGTTTTCTCTAGCCGGTAAAAAGTCGGCCTGGTACTTGAAATGAAACGGATTTTACAGTAGTGCCACGGTTAGGATAGATTAGGGGGCCGAGCACTGCGACTATTACATTAAAAAAAATTTTTAGCCCCTATTCTAAATTTTGTCGGCTTTAGTCAGTTCCTGTTCTGCGGCTTGGACTTTCTAGGTTAAGCACTGAAGCCATAGATTTATAGATGTCAGTTGTGTCCGATATAAAAAAAAAACATTTTGCCCGTTTGTCGCCCTTTTTCACCCTGTGTCGTTTTACCCTTGGTCACGTTTTTTCTCGTTTTTGGTTTGACCCTTCGGCATTTGACCAGGTTTGACCCCATTTTGGTAAATCAAGACTTAATTTTTCCAGAGCAAAAGTTTAAATTTCAACCTAAATCGGAAATGGTCATTTTTAGTTGTTTTGGGATGACCCGGGGGGCAAAAGCAATCTGCATATTAATCAGCATTGTCGTAAATCGATTTATGAACAATTTAAGCAAACTAGAAAGACCCGCTTGAGGCCAAATTACCGTGAAAAAGTTTTTTTTTATATTTTGATTGACGTTTTTACATGTTTTCACTTTGATTAAGATAAAATTATATCTGAATACCATGAACGCATAATTATTACGCAATTGGTGCGTAATATTGTTGCTCAGTGGTCCGTAGAATACAGAATATGCTGATATGTAAATGTCGCAAATACTAATTATTAGGATGATATACTTTTACAATCGAGGCGTGTCCTTGTGAACATCAGTTAAAGAATGGTTGGGAACAGATTAACATATATTCAATGATATTTTTAGGTTACAAGAGAACAATATGATTCTATGGAACCCAGGGTAAGAAAAAAAGAATTAATAAATAATTTGTGATAATTTGTGAAAATGTCTCATGATCATGAGCATGTCCAATACCCTTGAAACCTTTATCTGAGCAACCATAGAGGAGATATTGTCGTCTTCCTATCTTCAAACGATCATTTCCATCTTTGTTTCTGGTGAATAACTCTGCAAGTTAAATTTTTGGAGAAACCAATATTGGAGATTATCAACCTTCAAATAGGAAAACAAGAATTTTTTTTTATAAGTTTTGCTCCGACCAAGGTGTACCGTTGTTAATCGAGCATATTCCTGTTTAAATGAGGGGTATGCTCGATCCCTTTAATAACGCTTGTTACAACAAATTCTTGTTTTTTTTTTTGTCAAACTTTTACTCCCAGAACACAGTTTGTTCACAAAAGTATATATTGCACATTCTTGAGAAACTTAAGTTAAAGCTTTTAAACTGTAAATTAGTTTTTTTTTAAATATTGCGACCAATTTGGTAATCTGACGTAACCCGACCTAATCTGACCTATCTTGACCTAATGGGACTGGTCGTGCGACGTCGCTGGTTTCTAGGGGGGCTAGGGGGCCGAGCGCTGCGGCCATGATATACCTTTAATTCACAATTTTTAATATAATTAGTGTATATTTAGGGGTAGGTTAGGTTAAGCTCATTTCTGGGCCGAGCGCTGCGGCTAGGACAGGCTATAGGGGGCCGAGCGCTGCGGCCACATGTCTAGGCTGACCTACGAAAAAGGCCCATCATACCTACTAACGTGTCCAAGCGACAGTTTAAAGTAGGTCGGATGCACCAATATGCTGTTTTCAACGTGCCCATCCGACCTACAGTGCATCGGACCAACCACAGCTGTTAAAACCACGTGCTTGTAGGTCGGATGGGCAGTAGAGGGGATGGGCGTAGGTCTAGAAATACACCATCACAAATTTAAAATTATAAAAAACGAAGACGATATTTGAAAAGGTTTCCATTTTTTAATAGAAACACTGCATGTCCCATAGATTTTCATATATAAAGACATGGCTTCACCTCTTGTACGCAAAAAATGCTCTTTTTACTTGTTTTATAATCATCATACATAACGTGGTCTTTTATAATAAGGGAAACCTTTCGTTATAAATTAATGAGAATACAATATTGACACTATGGTACCTGAATAGAAAACGACTTTTGTAGAAACAAATTAAAAGAGTTTCCATAAAAAAAAGCAACGGCAGTTTATCTACCGTACACTTTATGTACAGGCAGGGTTTCCCAAAGAAAACAAACTTTAAGGTACTAGAGCTCTCATATGAAAAAGTTTATGGACAAAAATGAAAAAAAATTATGTATAATATACATCTCGAAAAATGTATAGGCACAGAATTTATTCTGGAAATTTGGGGCTTAGGTATTCCAGCCATCGTGCTTCTAAGATTCCTCCTAGATTGTTCTGCAAAGGAATTGAGTCTTTGCCACAAACTCAAATTTTATTAAACCTATATCTTTGCAATCTGAAGGTGTAAACCTTGGATATTTCAAACTTAGATTATTTTACATAACAAAATTCATATTTTGAAATATCTTATGTCTATAACATTTGGTTGATAAAATATAGAGATCCAAAAATCAGAGTTTGTGGCAAAGACTCAATTCCTTTAATAATCCCAACATCAGAAATCCCCCAATGAAAACAGGAAACTGTGCAAACTATGATGAACGAAGAAAGAAATGGTGACATGTAAACAACATTTTAATGTTAACAAATTTTACTGGAAAGAGAATAAATCTACTTTATTATATGCGTGTTAAGATGGAATTTAAAGAATTTGAGCCGCGGTTTAAATCCGCCAAAACCCGGTTTAAATTAAGCGCCGGCTTAAATCTTGAAACATTTGATACAATTTTAAGTGGAACCAACCATATTTAAACCGCGGCTTAAATGTAAACCGCCGCTCAAATTCTTTAAATTCGTCCATTGATCGTTTTTTTGGTTCGTTTGCTAGATTTTATGAACGTCTGAACCGAATGATCTCAGATTTCATAGGACTGTTTTTAAAACAACAAACGGGCAAAAACACGAAAAAGAGACTATCCTATCCAAAACAATCAAAATCATATAATCTATTTTAGGCTGACGTAAGACAATGGGCCACAAATCTGGGCCAAGTGCCGCTCATAAATTTCACGATTAGGGAATCATTCATTTGGCGTACCGTTCCTTTTTCTCTTACATAGTCTGTAATTGTACTGTCCAGTTTTCTCTAGCCGGTAAAAAGTCGGCCTGGTACTTGAAATGAAACGGATTTTACAGTAGTGCCACGGTTAGGATAGATTAGGGGGCCGAGCACTGCGACTATTACATTAAAAAAAATTTTTAGCCCCTATTCTAAATTTTGTCGGCTTTAGTCAGTTCCTGTTCTGCGGCTTGGACTTTCTAGGTTAAGCACTGAAGCCATAGATTTATAGATGTCAGTTGTGTCCGATATAAAAAAAAAACATTTTGCCCGTTTGTCGCCCTTTTTCACCCTGTGTCGTTTTACCCTTGGTCACGTTTTTTCTCGTTTTTGGTTTGACCCTTCGGCATTTGACCAGGTTTGACCCCATTTTGGTAAATCAAGACTTAATTTTTCCAGAGCAAAAGTTTAAATTTCAACCTAAATCGGAAATGGTCATTTTTAGTTGTTTTGGGATGACCCGGGGGGCAAAAGCAATCTGCATATTAATCAGCATTGTCGTAAATCGATTTATGAACAATTTAAGCAAACTAGAAAGACCCGCTTGAGGCCAAATTACCGTGAAAAAGTTTTTTTTTATATTTTGATTGACGTTTTTACATGTTTTCACTTTGATTAAGATAAAATTATATCTGAATACCATGAACGCATAATTATTACGCAATTGGTGCGTAATATTGTTGCTCAGTGGTCCGTAGAATACAGAATATGCTGATATGTAAATGTCGCAAATACTAATTATTAGGATGATATACTTTTACAATCGAGGCGTGTCCTTGTGAACATCAGTTAAAGAATGGTTGGGAACAGATTAACATATATTCAATGATATTTTTAGGTTACAAGAGAACAATATGATTCTATGGAACCCAGGGTAAGAAAAAAAGAATTAATAAATAATTTGTGATAATTTGTGAAAATGTCTCATGATCATGAGCATGTCCAATACCCTTGAAACCTTTATCTGAGCAACCATAGAGGAGATATTGTCGTCTTCCTATCTTCAAACGATCATTTCCATCTTTGTTTCTGGTGAATAACTCTGCAAGTTAAATTTTTGGAGAAACCAATATTGGAGATTATCAACCTTCAAATAGGAAAACAAGAATTTTTTTTTATAAGTTTTGCTCCGACCAAGGTGTACCGTTGTTAATCGAGCATATTCCTGTTTAAATGAGGGGTATGCTCGATCCCTTTAATAACGCTTGTTACAACAAATTCTTGTTTTTTTTTTTGTCAAACTTTTACTCCCAGAACACAGTTTGTTCACAAAAGTATATATTGCACATTCTTGAGAAACTTAAGTTAAAGCTTTTAAACTGTAAATTAGTTTTTTTTTAAACAGAAACATGATTTGCATGATAAAAGTTAAAATAATTTTCTGATAGCGGAAAGATTAAAGTGAAAAAATGAAAAGGAAGAAACTTTAGGTTGAACCGAGCTCGGCAAACTGGGTTTAGATAAACAAGCTTAGATCTTAGACTGATGGTAGACAGATTAAGTTTAACTTAGAGATCTGATAAACTCCCTTGATTTAAAAGTTCTCAGCTCTTTTACATATTTGGAAGTTTTATTTTTTATCAATAATAAAAATTTTGTTTAGAGTTTTGATTTCAAGCTTTTTATTCATTATTCGCCCTTCAACAGTTCTTCCACAGGTATTTTATATTTTATTCATTATTCTCCCTTTAACAATTCTTCCACAGGTATTTGATATTTTATTCATTATTCTCCCTTCAACAATTCTTCCACAGGTATTTTATATTTTATTCATTATTCTCCCTTCAACAGTTCTTCCACAAGTATTTGATATTTATTCATTATTCTCCCTTCAACAGTTCTTCCACAGGTATTTGATATTTATTAAAGGGACATTATTAAATGGAAATTATTAAAGGGAAATTATTAAAGGGCTAATCATCGATTTAAATTCAAACGAACCATCATTTAAAGGGTGACATAGGCACGATTCACGACGGTACACTTAATCGACCTTTATCTGATCAAGATATCATTGTTTTCCTTCCTTGAAAACTGATATTGTTTAACTGTATGGTTCTCCATAAAAAGTAATTGAAAATATATGCTGAAGAGTTGAGTTTGTGAATCGTCCATGGAACTCTTTAAATACAGGATCACTCGAAATATAGTGAACAGTCCATTAAAGATTTATTAATTTCAAACCATGGAGTTTTTAATGTTGATCTAAGTGACGTAGACCGAACCGTAAATACAGGAAATCAAGATAAATTCTGCTGAATAAAAACTAACTGTTGTCTGACCAGTGACCATCCTTCCACTTTTTATCTTTGTAAAATATTATAAAGAATTGTTTAAGATATTTTTAGAAAGTTTATTAAGTTGTGCAGCATAAGTTTGATTCTAACTTTGTTAATAATTAAGTATCAAAGATTAGAGAGAAGTTCTAAAGTTCAAAAATTATAGTGATGACTATTTTTAGCTCTCAAAAGTTCATATTCTAATTACTTGAATTCTAATTAACATTTATCACAAGACATTTATTAGAAAGAAATTACATAGAAACAGGAGCGGATACAGGAATTTTTGAAGAGGAAGGGGCTTTACAGAAAGAGCCCCCCGTATATTAAATCCAACACTTTTCCGAGGAGGGGGGGGGGGGTAAGCCCTCATAGCCCACACATCCCCTTAAACGCCCCTGCATTGACCCGAGCTATTTGTAAATAGGAAATTTAATTCACGTAACTTTTATTTTTATAGACCGAAATGTCCTGTCTATGAATTGTCATATCAATGAAATGTCATGTCTGTCATTGAAAAGTCTTGTCATTTGATTGTCCTATTTATGAAATGCTCTTTTATGAAATGGCCTGTTTATGGAAGGTATTGCTCTTGAACTTTTTTGTCATGAGATGTTCTTTTAAAAACATTTGTTGTTGTAAATCTGATTAATATTAATAGAAAGATCTGTATCGAGGATCTCCCTGGACTCCTAGAACTGCTCATGACCCTATACAGTTCCTGGAGGAAGACAGTGTTTCTCTTGAAGAACCCGGAGCTTCAAGGAGTTTTAAATTCCAGAGAAAACCAAAAAAAATCAATTTTGATTCTCCCTTGAACGAAAGTAAAGTTCAATCTGAAGTTAACAAGATTGAAGTGTTGGGCCGAGGAGGAAACCCGGTCACTATTTCTTTTGGAAATGCATCTCTACTAGAACCTGAAAGCAGAAGTTTTGAAACAGAAGTTAAAAGTATTTTAATCGAAGAAACAAACCCCTCAGATCAGTCTCAGGTAAAATCTGTTGGTTTATATATTCATACAGGGGTCGGAGTTTATATTAATACAATGAAGACGACATTTTATTTAAGTTTTGATTTTTAACAAGCTTTATGAAATTGCAAGTTTACAAGTAAACAAAAGAGAATCTTTTAATTGACAACTTCTCTTTGTTTCAAAGTTGATGTGTATCCATACTGTTTGAAAGCTTGCTATAGACCTCTGGTAGACATAAAAATTTAAATCAAAAGTCGTCTTCATTGTATTGATATATAAGACGACGAAGCTGTATATAAATTATGAATATTATCAAAATTTCCAGTTTCAGATCATATACGCTGCCAATACTGATGATGTGGAAAGAAAGGCAAAAAGACCTTCAAACCTACCAAAGTAAGTAAAAAACTGGAATGTTTATTGTAAGTGTCTAATATGATATAAAACAAATAATTGTGAATAAAATTTAGGCTATACGGTTCTTAATAAAAACCTTTAAAAACAATAAGACAACATGTTCCCAAGAAATATTTAAACCGACGCGACGTCGGACATTGAACAAAGCTCCAATTTGCTGCTTCACAAGGCTTACAAGTGACTGACAGGGAAGCTTTTTATATTCAAAGTTTGCTGTCATAGCTTTGAATTAACAAGAAGTTATAGGTTCCGTACATCAAACAGAATTTTGAATTTCCAATTGGCAATTTCTCAAAATGTTACTCAAATGGCACCTTGAGTTTTTACCAGGAATGTGGAATTAAAAAACAAAACCAAAATCAAGTTTTTTATACAATATATTTTTCAGAAGTTTTATTCCACCGCGACCAATCGGTCCTATGTTAAGACCTGAGAGTTACAAGAATACCGAAATCAAGAAACAGAGAAGGAAAACGTCCAGACGACGTGTTGATGAAGATTTACCTTCAATAGTTGTGCCTCAGCTGTCAAACAGACTAGAACCCCCAGGTCCCCCGGACTACTCGGGGGTTCAAAACCAAATAATTCCAGAGGTATGATTTATATATTTGTTTAAATTTCATCTAGAAAGACCGTTTTTTTCCGTTTATGGGTCTTCACTTTGCAGGTGTAAATTGTAAACTAAGAAATAAAAATGAAAAAAAATTAGAAGTTATCAGCAGAAAAAATATTTCCTTTTAAAATGTTGAAATCTACCCAAATTACAGTGCCACATTCATCAAAATGGTGTCTGATACAGTGATAACCAGAAAACTGCAGGATAGGAAGACGACATTATGACAAAACTAAAGAACATTTTTTGTTGTTACGAAGCAAATAGTTTCACTAGTAAGTTAAAAAATCACTTATTTAGTGAAATGGGTCTGTTTACACTGCACAATTGTTGTGCGTCATGTTCATTGGACTATTCAAAGTCATAAATAGGGTGTTAAAGTCCTATTCCAGAGTTTTCTGGTTATCACTGTGCCAGGTTTTATGACCATACTCTTAATGTATTTTTTGCCTTTCTGTCAGTGGAGGGAGCGTGACTTAGTCCTAGTAATTATGGAAAACAAAAATTTTTTCTTTCAGCCCATTGTGCATTTTTACATAAACGAATTGCGGCATTACGAACTATTCAGACTTGTCAGACGCCGGTACGCATCAATGATCCTTCTATGTTTCCTTTTCTTTTAAATGTATTCATATTTAATCAGCTTTGTATCCAGTATCACGTGGAGACAAGATCGGATAAAGTATCCAATAGTGAACATGGTGCAACCGTGTACACTGTGTACTGCAACTCAGTGTACCTGTACAGTGTACAGTGTACAGTGTATGTGAATGCATACATATTTAATCAGCTTTGTATCCAGTTATCATTTGGTAGACAGGCATAGACAATGGATCCAACAGTGTACACTGTATAGTGCATCAGTACAGTGTACACTGTACTGTCAATGTATACATGTAATCCCTAATTTTTTTCCAGTTAGCACGTGGTAGACAGGACCGAAAGGAAGACCCTACACTGGTTAATATCGGGGACTGGGCAGCACAGTGGGACCAAGATGAAGAGGCGTGGTAAACTTGTTTTAAACAAAAACACACATTTGTCCTCGGGTTTCCCATCGGAATTCCATTTTGCGAAAAAATGTGCATTACATTACGCGGAATTGCTGAACTTGCGCGCAACGTAATCATGCTTTTCAAGTTAATGAGTATAAAATATCAAAAGCGATCAAAAGCCAGTATTTTTCACCGTAAGCCTATACCTTCTTTCATTTTTCGCAAACACGCCCTTTAAAAGAACAAATATTGAAAAATTGTCAAGATTAATGATAAAGTAAAACTGCAGATTTTCACTATTTACCAGTCATTCATCATGAAATACACAACAAATTTTGAAAGGTGAAAAGTTGTTAATTTTTTATGCTTGATAAAAACGGTCCCTAGTTTTTATTAATTATCCTTAAAAATAATCCCACCCAGGAATTGAGTTTTTGCCACAAAGAAAAATTTTCGAATCCTAATATCTTTGCAACTAGGTGTTTTAAACCTTTAAAATTTTAAACTTAGATTATTTGATCTACCAGAATTCATATTTTGAAATATCTAAGGTCTAGAACATTGGGTGGCAAAGATACAGGGTTTAGAAAATCAGAGTTTGTGGTAAAGACTCAACTCCTTTGTAAAATTCTAAAAACTTGTTTTTGCAGGTACTACTACAATTATCTAACAGAAGAGTCAACATGGATTAAACCCGAAGTTTTAAAAGTAAGTTTAAATTGGGATTTTGCCAAATAAACCATTCAGCTTATCATTTTTTTTATCCTTATAATTTTAGGACGTGGATTTTGAACCTCCTTTAAATGCAAAGGCTGAGGTAACATTTAATTAAAGTTATTCATAACTAGCTTGGGAACCCAGCATTGCACAGGGTCGTCATAGTTAGTCCCACAGTTTACCCGCACTTTGTCTTCAACTACGATTTTAGCTAATTTTCCCTATCAATAGAATCTCAAAACTAAGCTAAAAATCGATCCAGGGGTTCCTGAGTTATGATCGGACAAACAAACAGACAGAGCATGAGACTTTAATTTGCGACCTAAAACTCTCTTAATATTACAAACTTAGGGTCGTATTTGGATTTCTGCTCAGAAAGTAGTTGTTTAAAGGATTGTTAAATATTTGATAAAGTATAAAGATGGAAGATAATTTTTATTTAGAATTACATTTTCAGAATATCAACACAAAGACGAAGGAAGTGGAAAGAAAAGATGTTGGAATTCTAGATGAACTGAAAAAGGTCTCTTTAATCCAAAAGTAAAAAATTTTGTTCAACTTTTTAATGCGTATTTGTATTTTCAGACATTTTCTTCTTTTGGCGGGATAAGTTTAGAGAAGATTCTGCTGTTTTTCGTTGTTAAAGGTTTATACAAAATTTTCTTTGTTCATTTAAAAATGGTACACGTTCCATAGCCGGTTGTAATATTAAACATGAGGAAGAAAAGGCCGTTTTCTGTCTTAAAAGTTATCAATTCTCTCAATATCTTTTAATGCCTGTGCTGCATGAATCCTCAAATAACTTTTACAGAAAACTGCAATTAAAAATGTAAACAAATTTCAGTAGAAAAAAATGAAAACTGATTTTTTTTAAATGGTACCGTTTAAGTTGGGCAACTCTTCAATTAAAATTATGTCTAATACAGTTATATATCTATATATAAATTTGGCTTGTCTGTCTGTTTGTTTGTTTGTCTGTTTGTATCCAATAAACGTCAAAACGGCTGAACCGATCGGGCCCAAATTTTTTGTGGGACATCTAGGGACCCCAGGGAAGGTTTATGAATCATCAAAATTTCAAATATTTGTCTCCATCAAAATTCGATCGTCATTAAATTTTTAAAAATTTTGAAAATCCGCGAAATTTTTTGTGAAAATCCGCGAATTATTTTTGTTTTGTTTTACGATGTACACAAAGAGAACATGTTCACAATTAATTTAGAAGATGGGCGCGAAGCGCCCTCTAAGGCTAGAAAGAAGGGCGCGAAGCGCCTTGAATTTCTAGTACATATATATTTTGTTTCTAGGTATAGCCTGGGTAATCTGGGCAGCATTTGCATCTGTATTCTATTTTGCAACAGTTACGGGTAGACATCTAAATCAGGTAGCAACTAAACTAATTATATATGAAGTGTGTCCTATTAAACATGATAATTCAATAACCGCTTTAAATGTCGTTTTCTTCAATATTTTAGTAACAAAAAACAATTTTAGTATTTGGAGCTATTGTGCGTGCAACCGTACCCTGACGTCAGAAAAAGCACTTTGAATGACTTTGAAAAAAATGAATTTGAAGTTGGTACCAAACAACTGTAATTTAATCTTGATAAGACAACCTGTCATTCTTAACTGATGAAGAATTATAATGTTTAATAGGATACACTGTAAACTGTGTTGCTTTTAATTCTAAATAAATCTAACCTTCATCCGAGGTTCATGTTTTTTCATCAATTTATTTATTCCTTTCTCGCCCAAACTTTTTCCTGGAAAATTTTTAAAATCTTAAAACAAGAATACATTTATTTTCATTTTACTTAAAGTTTTAAGGAAGTTTAAAGACAATTGTTTAGCAAGCCAATTTTTATTTTTAATTTTAATTAAAATCCAGATTATAAATTTAAATCCTGCAACAGCTCTGAATAAATTAAATCCAAATTTTTAAATAATGATTACAGAAATTACACTTTAAATTGTTTGGAAATAATTCAAAATAAACAAAATGATGTAATGTTTGAATGCATGAGTAACATTGGCAGACATTTTAAAATAGATATATTCAAGGTTGGAAATTTAGGAGAAACTTTCCAGTCCAGGTAATTTTAAACATTTTAATTTTTTTTTAATTATTAAGCGCAATTTTCAAGCATTTTTTTGCGAACTTTTGCGCATGAAGCACGTTAAATGTTGCCCGTTTTTCCGTATTTTTATGGGAAAATTTGCGCAAAAAATAATCATTTATAAGAAACAACAGTTTATTGTATGAAAAGACTTTTAAAATTTTGTATTTGTTTATCATGCAATAGTGCAATTTTGAGCGAAATGACATTTGCAAATGCGTAAATTTAGTTTTTTTCGCGTTTCGTGTTATTCAAGGAAAGAAATATTTTGCGTTTTATGTTTTCAAAAATTGTGCAAAAGTTTTGCGAACGGGAACCCTAACTGCAAGGCATTCTTTTAATAGAAAATTATAAGGATTTCTCACTGATTTGAAAATGCACATATTATACGAATATTTGGAATTAAAAATGATCGATCAATGATTGACACTTATGTCAAAATAACCATAGTGCTTTTTCAAAGGAACGCGTTTTTTGTTTGAAAATTTCGTGGATTTCAAAATATAAAGTTACGTAAACTTACATAAAAGGATGATCAATTCCTCAACAGTCTCTTTAGCTAATAACTATTGTTTAGTTTACTGGACATCATAGAGAGAATAGAAGACTTCAATAATAATCATAAAACAAATGTATAAATATATAAAAAGATGAAAATGTATAAAATAAATAGTTGAATTAAATATAAACATCAAAATTTTAATGATAATATCCAAGAATTGGATGATGAAACCCAAGGTTTGAATGATAAAACCTAAGGGTTGAATGATAAATCCAAGGTTTGGATGATAAATCGGTGGTTTGGATGAATAAAATCCAAGGTTTGAATGATAAATCCAAGGTTTGAATGATAAATCCAAGGTTTTGATGATACAAATCAAAGTTTGGATGATAAAATCCAATGTTTGGATATAATCTTCAAGGTTTGATTGATAAACTCCATGGTTTAGATGATAAACTCCAAGGTTTGGATGATAAACTTAAGGATTGGAAAAAATAACGTTATGGTTCCGATGATAAACTCCATGGTTTAAATGATAAACTCCAAGGTTAGGATGATAAACTTCAGGATTTGAATGGTTAACTTCTTGGTTCCGATGATAAACTCCCCATGGTTCATGATTGTCAATTGATAATTGAATATTTTCAAAATTTCTTGAAATTGTTATTAATCAATTATCTAAAATGATTAGTTGTTCAAAAACATATTTTTATGAATTTCTTGAAACTGTTCTTTATCAATTATCCGTAATGATATGTCCCCCCTAAACCATTTTTATTTCTCCAGAATTTGTCAATGAATATGATATACAAGGATATATCTTTTACACAGAGGATTTACAATATACATTGACATTTACATGCAAGTAATGTAAAGTAAATATAATACACAAGGATATATTCTAATTACATATAACAATTTACAATTAACATGTAAAGTTACAATTTACAAATTAGATTTAATTTTGAAATTGATTACATTTCACAGAGGAAAGTCAAGATAGTTTGTTTTTGGTAAACATAATTGAATTAATCCATTAAAGATAGTTCAACAGTCGTAGTCGTGTATATAAATACAATAAAGACGACTTTTTATTTTAATTTTGATTTCTTTCAAGGTTTCAAACAGAAACACTCAAAGATGTAGACAAATCTAAGTTAAAACAAAAAACAACCTAATTATTAATAAATAAAATAATTACGTTGCTGTTGGTAAACTGCCATGTCAAATACATGCATTAACATTAAATAAACCAAAATCACTTAAAAAGAAAGGTTTAAGAAAAAATTAGTGAAACTTTATTTTATATAAACTGCAGAAAAAAGCATAATAATCCAAGGATTACATTTAAAAGTAGAAATTTGCTTAATCATTTGGAAGTTTTTGTGGTGAAAATTAAGTTTTATAGGACAATGTAATAATGGGTTAATAAAATGTATTAAAATAAATTTTAATTATGTTTTTGAATCAGTGTTATTAAAAAATTAAACAAGCAACGTTTTTTTGCTACTTTGGTAATATACTTTCTCAATGAACTATTTCAAAAAAAAAAAAATGGAATTTCTAGTCTATAGTTACCCCTATGGGTTCCCTAAAACGTGTCAGCAAATTTAACCCAGCTGCACATTTGGCCGCCTGCAGCGAACATTTAAATGACGTTTATTATTTATGTGGATATATATTATTATAATTCATTTTCTCTGGTCGTGAAATATAAAAAATATAGAAAATTAAAAAACATTTATTTCTCTACATTTACCAGAAACCAAATTAAAAATAATTTGTTTGAAGATTGAGTTTTCCTCCCCAGCCACTGAAAACAAAACATCGATTAAAAAAGGAAAAAAAGAAAAGAATTTAAGTAAATAGATTATTTGGAATAGAAATAAAACAGACTTTAAAATTGTAATTAAAGCATCAAAAACTTTTTGGATGTTTTTGATTGCACACTTTTTTAGAAAATAATTTTATTTTTTTGGCCTTTACTTGCTTACTTATTTACTTACTTACTTACTTACTTACTTACTACTTACTTACTTACTTACTTACTTACTTACTTTCTTACTTACTTACTTACTTACTTACTTACTCACTTACGTACTTACTTACTTTTTTACCTTTGCATGTTTTTGCATATTATCCAGGATTTGAAACAAAAGCTAAAGTTGCCCAAACTCCCCATCCAATAGCTAAACAATAATATTAATCTTATTTTAAATCTTTAAACCCATTTATGGATAAGAACTTTTCTAAAATATTTGATAAAGAAAAAATTTACATCTGGAACAGGCGTAAAAAATAAAAGAAAAGAGACAATCAAACTAATAATTATTAAAAAAAATTTCAAAATTAACAACAAATTTTTTTAATAGGATGTACTGATGGTATAAGTATACAGGACGCCGTTACGCTGGTCCCATTAGTATATGCTTCCTTTCTGGATATAAAAACATTCTTGAAATATTAATTTGTTTTCTGCAGCACTCAAAATAAAACTTTTCAATGATAAAATAAAAAAGTAGGCCAAGAAAGCTTGACTTTTTTCATCCATCACACTTCACTATCTTTATCTTTCATGGTAAATCCTAGGCGACCCCCCCCCCCCACCTCCACCACCTACAGGGTTATCCAGAAAGGATAAGACTGTGAAGACGACCGGAAACTCTTAAAATGTGACGATCTCAAGGTTAAATTATGTATTCTGCCAAAGATATTGTAATATAATAATGGTTTATTTAATGATTTGACAAAGAATAAAACAAGTTCACAAGGTTGCAGGGAATTATGAATATAAGGAAACAGACAGTATTAATTCCGTACAGTCGTCTCTGAAGTCTGACTCTTTGTGGGTAACCCTGTATATTAGGAAAAAACAACAGGAATAAGGTGGAATGGTTTCCATTTATAATTTGTTAACAATACTCACCTTTAACTACTAAAAAGACTAGAATAGTCAATAAACCTGATGCTGGGCTTATACTCTGCCTCTTTATCTGATCCTGTAAAGGAAATCTTCCATAAATATTTATTAGACTTAAAGATCAATTTAAAGTTTGATTTTGAGCGGGTTAGTTTTAAGAATTTATGACTACATTGTTGAAGTTGAATTTTAAAATTTTAAAATTTGATTAATTTGATTTCTCTTCGATATTCCATGGTGGATATACCCTGTAGGGATGAATTTTATCGAGGGACTTAGCATTATCCTCAAATATAAGATATTAACGATGCTCCATACAAAAGTTTCGATCTCTGGACTGAGCTATTATTTGCAGAATTATTTTAGACGATTTTTACAAATTCTAAAGACTTTGAAAATAGAAATGTAACAATTATAGTAGTTTGGAAGATTTAGAACGTTCGTCGAATTTAAATATGAACGAAAAATTTAATAATTAATGAAGTTTTCATTTTAATCTTTTATTTTATATATTTTCTCACCTGACGAGTTTCTATACCATTTTTCTTTCGAATCCCATTTTTTTCCTAATTAAAAATATATATTTTACACATTTGTATTTTATGTCTGTCTGTTTGTCTGTTTCTTTGTTGGTTTGATTGTTTCTATCCAATTAACGTCAAGGCTCATTTTGTTGTAGAACCTCACATAATCCCATTTTAATTTTAATATTTGCTAAAAATAAATAAAGGAATTGAGCCTTTGCCACAAACTCAAATTTTCTAATCCCAAAATTTGAAACTTGCTAATTTAAAATTAGATTGTTTGATCTGACAGAATGCATCGTTTGAAATATCTAAGGTCTACAACATTGAGTTGCAAAGATAAGGATTTGAAAATTTGAGTTGGTGGCAAACACTTTTTTGGCCGAGGTATATTATTTATATTACAAATATAAAATCAAAGAGAATAGAATAAAATCCTTTGTGGGATTATTAATAAGAACGAACAAAATGCGAGAATAACAAAAAAAACAATTTCTTAGAATACCTTTTTATTGTTCAGATTCAATAGTTGCAAATGTTGATCCTAAATACATTCAAATAAAAATAGAAAGAATTTACAAAAATATTTTTTTATTGAAAACTAGGAAAAAAATCTATTTAAAAGATGATCTGTTCAATTCTTTTTGAAGTAAAGTCTAAATAATTTTCTATTAAATAAAAACTAGTGTTATTTTTTCTATGTGGTGGTTAGAACCTAGCTGTATAAATTTATCAGTTAGGTGGTAAAATTCTCAGATATATGAGATTATTTTTATTATTTGAAATTTCCTGAATTTCTGCAGATTTTTTGCTAAAACTCTGTGGGAAAATCCTAAAATATATATATTACAATACTTTTATTAAGAGGTATTTTCCTGAAGGAAATTGAAAACTTTTAGTCTAAAGTTAATGAGGAAACTAAAATCTTTTTTAAAGCTCATAAGTTTCAAAAAATTTTTTATAATAATACTTTCAATGATTCTATCTTTTTCTATATAATAAAACTCTTTGCTACAGTATATATATGTATGTATATGTTAGCTATAGCTGGCCAAACGGCTGAACCGAATTTCTTTGAACCGAATTTTTGAGAAAACTCATGGGTACCCTGCGGGTAAAATAGTCTTAAAAATGTTGAAGTTATTTTTTTCAATCAAATTTTTTTTCATATTGAATTATTTTAATTCCACGGGCAACACTGGGCACTTCTATATTTTGAGCAATCTCAAATGCACTATATTGTAAAGAAACGTTATTACAACTCAACTTGTTATCATATTTTCTCTTTTTAAGCTATTTACAGTTTATCTATTTTCAGGGGTTGTGTCTGTTCAGGAAGATTAAAAGGTTCTTAAGAATTTAACATATATTTGAAAAAATCTTTTTTTCATCGATATTCGAAACTTTAAAAAAACTCAAACTATTTAAAGGAGTGTTTACGAAAAAGTAGATTGTTCTATTTATATTTTAACTTGATATTTCTGAAATAAGAAAACATTGATAATCTGATTTACTTTTAATATTTTGGTTTTAAGCAAAAACTATTAAAATCTTTTCTTTATTCTGATTTATTTTCCTGTGCCTTAACTTATTTTATTCACCCTGATCTTTTATTTACCCCGATTTTCTAATTACTCTGATCTTTTATTTACCTTGATCTTTTATTTACCCCGGACTTCTAATTACTCTGATCTTTTATTTACCCTGATCTTCTATTTACCCTGATCTTTTATTTACCCTGATCTTTCATTTACCCTGATCTTCTATTTACCCTGATCTTTTATTTATCCTGATCTTCTATTTACCCTGATCTTTTATTTACCCTGATCTTTCATTTACCCTGATCTTCTATTTACCCTGATCTTTTATTTATCCTGATCTTTTATTTACCCTGATCTTTTATTTATCCTGATCTTTTATTTACCCTGATCTTTTATTTACCCTGATCTTTTATTTACCCTGATCTTTTATTTACCCTGATCTTTTATTTATCCTGATCTTTTATTTATCCTGATCTTTTATTTACTCTGATCTTTTATTTACCCTGATCTTTTATTTACTCTGATCTTTTATTTACCCTGATCTTTCATTTACCCTGATCTTTTATTTACCCTGATCTTTTATTTACCCTGATCTTTTATTTAACCTGATCTTTTATTTACTCTGATCTTTTATTTACCTTGATCTTCTATTTACCTGATCTTTTATTTACCCTGATCTTTTATTTACCTTGATCTTCTATTTACCCTGATCTTTTTTTTACTCTGATCTTTTATTTACCCCTGATATTTTATTTACCCTGATCTTCTCTCCTGATTCCATTGTTCCTCACTTCCAATAATTTTCCGTTGAAATGGATTTCTTCTCTCAATGATATTTTCAGATTTAGAAATCTAAAAAAAAAATTTTTTTACATAAATTATTAAAGTTTAATTTAACAAAAGTAAAATTTAATGAAAATATTATAGTGACTTGCATTTTTATTAAAAATCTATACAATTTCTTCTAAAATGGGATAAAATGCGTCTAACTTTGTAAATATTTTAGACTTACAACAAGAAATTTATGATGAACATTACTTGGAGTTTTTCAAAAAGGTAAATGCAGTTTTTATTCTGCAAACAACCGAAATGTTTTATATTTGAAAAATGCATTTTTGATGCACTCGATTCTGTTGCATTTGCCAATTAAGAGAATACACCGGAGAAAATCCAATATATTAAGTTAGGCTGGGAGATCTAAAGTTAGGCTGGGAGATATCAAGTTAGGCTGGGAGATATCAAGTTAGGCTGGGAGATATCAAGTTAGGCTGGGAGATATTAAGTTAGGCTGGGAGATCTAAAGTTAGGCTGGGAGATATTAAGTTAGGCTGCGAGATCTAAAGTTACATCTCAATAGATACATAGTATATACATAGAGAAAAATAAAGGAAAGTAGTTGTTACTCTGATTTACTAATCCCTATATCTTTGCAACCCAATGCCGTAGACCTTTTCACCGCCAGGTTGTAAAGATATAGGTATCAGACAATTTGAGTTTGTGACAAAAACTCAGTTTCACGATCTGGGAAAAATTGAATATTACGCAGAAAATTATGATTTTTAAAACTTTTTAAAAATTCAGATCTTCAAAAAAAAAATGTAAAAGCATATATATAAGACTTGACAACTATTTTGAAATCGTCTAACTCAATACTTTTTCTAACAAATATTTTGTGCTGATTCTGAGTAAAAACTTTACATTGAAGCAAGATTTATTTTTTATTTATCTTTAAAAAATAATGAAACCTTGTTTAAAGATGACAATGTCGAGACAGTTAGACAAGAGATGATGAACCTAAACAAAAATATAATTTATTTAAAAAATTTTTGTCAATTACCTGAGATCTCTACCGTAGCAAAACTCCACAAGTCATTTTTATAAGAACCGCAATTTGAAATCGATTTTAAGAAAGGAAAGCATCCTTTCTGCTTTGACAAAGGTTTAACGGATAATGTTGTGAATCAAACATGGCACTTAAAGAATCACTTAAAGTTACGTCTGATCTAAAGTTGATAATGGTTTAAAAGTTTCCATTTATTGCACTATGCAAAAAGTTTATTCTCTACTGGGAGATATAAGCCTAGAAACGTACGAACGGGGAAAAAGTTTGTTCAGGTTTATATATTCTTTTGAAAAGTTTATAATTCAGAAAGAAAAAGTAAATTTCTTTTTCTTCTGAAATTTAAATTAAAAAAGGAGATAAAAGACAAAACAATGATAAAGACAAACCAAGGCCGTGTTATTTCTTGTTTCTACTTTATGAAATCAAATTGTAGAGAGAAATGAGGAATATATGTGGGGTGTGGTTGTTTATATCTTGCTTAGAGGTTAGCGTAACATATGAATAGTTGCAATAACATTGAAAGATACTACATTCCCCCTTGAGTAACATTAATCGTCGGAGGTCGCTTCCTGCCGACAGTTGGGCGATTTAGATATTTCACGGGCAACACCGTTCATCAACTGGTGTTATACTAAACGGTTAAAAGCCCCCCCCCCCCAGGTTCAATGTTTAACAAGTATGGAAATCTATTTACGCTTCGTAGATTCTCTGCATTACATTCAATTCAGGGTTACACACAAAGGATTACGCTATGATGCCGACCCGATACTCTTAAAATATGATGATATGAAGGCTGAATTTGGTAATTTGTACCCAATGAAGTTTATTAAAAAAGTATATTAAATGATGGCTGCAAAGATTGAAACAAGTGTGAGACTGCTAAGGCTGGGCCCGTTCCAACTTTTTCTAGCCGTTTTTTTAACGGTTATAGTTCCAACCGTAAAAAAATATTCAAGGTGGCCGTTAGTTTTAAAGGTAATTACGGAAAGTTCGTTTCGTTAACGGCATTTACCATTTGTTTTAAAAATCATTGCTAGTTAAGAATCTCAATTTTATTAACGCCACTAACGGAAATTTTCGACAAACTCTAACAGTTCCAGTTGTTAACGGTCTATTACATTATTAAGGGCGAAAAAAATCGTTAACAGTTAAAGAAATTGTTAACGGCGCAGCAGGGAGGGCTATTGGTATTTTGGAAAATTCAGAAAATTTAAGCAGCCTCGGACCAATACTTTTTACTTTTTTAACAAAACTATAGTGTGAGGGGGGTCAAATTCCCCCCAGCAGGAATAGGGTTAAAAATTAACGGTTTTGCCGTTCGTTAACGGACACTTCCGTTAATTTTCGAAAACCTCCGTTCCGTTAACGGAACTATGCCCAACCCTAGCAACTTCAACGTACCAAGAAAATAAGAAAAAAAAGAAAAAAAACTTTCGTACGGTGGTCTCTGAAGTATCATCCTTTGTGGGTAACCCTGGTCCCTGACTAATTTCCAGATAAAAAATGCTAAAATGAAAATTAGTCCACTTACCAAACATGTCGTAAAATCATATTTCAACCTCAGATAAGATTGTTGTTTAACTAACTTGTAGATGAAACTGTAAGTTTGGTAAAAGTCAGGGGGGGGGAGAAATTTAAGCTTTGTCATTGTTGCGAGCATCCGTCTCTACAAATACTTGAGCAGTCCGCGCATTATTCGACTTTTTTTACGCTTTTCTTGCGTAACAGAAGAAAATTGACCCTGAAATCCAGTTTACAATACTTAAAGGGACTACTGTCAAGCGTCAAGTGTCAGCGTAATTTCGTTTAAAAGTTGTACGCCCGATTCACAACGGTATCCTACGGCACGCCTCTGTCTATGCAACAATAAGGAAGATGTCGTATGTTAATTTTAAACGTGTTGAAATCTGTCAATTTCCTCTTTTTTGCCTCTGTCGCAATAATCCGCAAAACAATTTTATAGAGAAAACCACAGTTGAACATAATCAAATTTCAAAAAATAATAAAGAACAGGAATAACTTAGCACAGATTTATTATTCAATCAAAACAGAAATTTATATATATTTATGTATTAAATCCAAAAATGTATTAAAACATAATATAGAGGGTGCTGGGATTAGTAAATGGGAATAGTAGTTTTGCAATAATCATCCGACCACGACTTAAGCTGAATGAATCTGATAAAAACACTAAGTTAATGGTGCGTTTATGTTAATACTATACACAACAGAGCGTATCTGAACTCGCTAATTACGAGGGATGATTTTTGCATCAAAAACATAAATTTTCAGAATTAATATCATTGCACGCTTTCGTTCAGTGCAAAAAGTGTAGTGGTGAGATGTGGTTTAAATATTGTATCCGTGGATACGGTTATGCTCAGGTTGTGTGTATGTAGTGTACTGATTAAAAAATTTAAAAATACAGAAAATACAGAAACCCATTCATATGATTTTAAAATTCATCTTGTACATGTAATGCAAAATATATACTTTTTTGGCTGCTGCAAAAAGTGTATATTTTTTTGTTCAGGAACGAAATTTACTGAATAGCTAGAAGTAGTTGAACTATGTAGAACAAGTTGAACCTCAAGTCTTGAACTTTAACCAGCCGTCAAAGAGAAGTGGTTTAATAACTTCTCATTATTTATTAAATCTGGTTTTGTTCTGACTATCTCAGGACGTTTTTTCATATTTTCAATTGGAAATCCATTAAAAAAAACTTTTGTTGCGCCATTTAAAACCTTTCTGCTTTATACTGTGTTAATACTAATAAATTGATTATTCGTTTCTAATTCTAGATTTATAATTTCTATATCTTTTAGTTGGATAAATCTTTGATTATTTGATCCAGCAGAAATCTTAGTTTGAAATATTGTAGGTCTAGAACATTAGAGTTGGATATCCTCAATCCCGATCGGTTAATTAATCTGAGCTGGGAACTTTAGAATGGATAACCTTTAATCCCAACTACTTAATCCGAATATCCACAATGGCAACTTTTATTTTAGTCCTTAATCCACTCTTTTTCTCTCTCTTTGAATATCCGTACATTATTTTCTCCAATATGAGTTTAGGCATATAGTTCGTAAATTTATTGACCAATAACAGCCTTGAAAATAAATTCTATCCCATGAGAGAAATCCGCAATTTCTAACAAATATAGAATTTGTTGTCGGACATATTGTAAATTAATCGGTGAAGAAAAATATTTAATAATACGATTGAGATTCTTTTGTAACCAATTTTAACAAATGTATTAATAAATGGTTGAGAAATCAAGAAAACGAACCAATCTGGCATTCTTAGAATCCAATTTGTTGATCTAAATATTTGATCTCGTGACTAACATAGTCTCAAGATTAGCAAAAACAGAGGATTAAGAATATCCACCATTCTAATGTTCCCAGCTCTGGAGATTAATAACAAGAGGAGGGCAAGCATTATTTAATCTGGAGATCAAGAAAAAGGGTGGATCAAGCATTAATCCCGATATCGAGCATTCAAAAGTTTCCAGGTCTGGTTGCTAAAATGTAAGAATTTTAAAGTTTGAACCTGAGATGGGGTAATCAGTTTCTTTGTTTTGGTATTCATAATATATTTTGAACTCTACCTGGTTATCAAATATATTTTGAACTCTACCTGGTTATCAAATATATTTTGAACTCTACCTGGCAATCAAATATATTTTGAACTCTACCTGGCTATCAAATATTATAAATGATTACCCACAAAGATGACACTTAGAGATGTCTGTACGGATTTTATTCAGTATTTTTGTTATAAATTGGTGGTTCCCTACAGCTTTAAACTCATGTGGTATTCACCTATTAAAAATATACAAAATACATAGGACCAAATTAGGTATTTAGATCGGCATACTTCACGAGTAAGTTTCAGGTTGTCATTATAGTCTCAACCTATGTGAGAAACCTTTTAGCTCTATAGATCTGAATGATATCAATTGAATAAAAAAATAAGATATTTCTGATCAGGAAAATGAAACTACTCTGCTCTCTTTTGATAATCCACCAGTTCGCCATCAGTTTAGCACAGGTAAGCAATTTTCCTGTAACTAGGGATTTTTAAACCCTATTCTGGTTGGATTTTGTCCTTTTATTTTAGAAAGGGAAGTGCGAAGAAGCCTTAGTTTTGGAAGCCTACTCATTTTTGAAAATTTTAGACATCTAACTTCAATGATTTGGATGTTTAAAAAGCTTAATAAAACAATGCCAGAAACACGTCAATTATGAGGCAGACGCGGTGGGCGTTTCTAATTTTTCAATCACCCTTTACCCTTCTCACCATCAAATATATACCCTACCATTTTTATCAAAATATGGTAGGGTTGAGGTTAAAAATTAACTATATATAAATGAAATATTAGGTGGACTTGTACAGTGGAATACCTTGGGTCCCACAAGTAAACCCTGAAGGACTCCCAATTTCCAGAGAAGATACAGTTTCCCTCGCTCATGATATAGTTCAAGAAAACCTCAAAACTTATAGAAACGATGACAACAATGTAGCGACGAAGAAAACTGAATTTAATTTACAGAATAAAAATAAATCCTCAAGCGTTGGATTCAGGCAAAGATCTTTAAAATATGCATGATTCTTTAGGCATGAAAGTTTCATCTGCAAAACATAGTCATTTTATGATTAGCAATTTTATGTCAAGGAACTATATTCAGGAACGCCCAACTCAGATATACGCAAATTGTGTACTGTAAACTGTGGGAGGAATGCAAACAAACCCAGTGTCCCCACAAAAGTTGAAGGGAAAGGAATACAGCTCTGATGTGTATTACAGTCCAACAATAAACAAGTTAATATATAAACTTAGAGCGAATACTTATGATTTTTGGCTTTCTGGTCAAAATGGAAAATACAATAGCAATATTCTTATTCCATCCCTTGGGCCCTTTTCCCTCAAAAATGATGCGTTGCCCCTGAATTCTTTGTTTTGATCTCCTCCCACTGCAGTACACTTATTTGACGCATCTCGCTAAGGCGGTTCCTGGTCTATATGTTTCTTGGTGTTTGGGTGTACATTTAAAGTTAGAGGAGCTACAAGGCCACAAAGTCGTACCAGTAAAGTCACAACCTTCTTCTTTCGTCTGGATTGCAGTGAATTGATCATTTTAATATTGATATGCATAGATTGAATATCTTGTGATGAAGAGAAAGCAAGAAAATATCCCCAGTTTATAAAGGAAATAATATCCAAGTTACTCCTAAACAAAATACGATAGATCCAACCATTCTTAACAGGTATATAATGGTATATGATGATTGATGGCCATGATTTTGAATTTTAAAAACCTTGAAATGATATTTTTTTAGCTAATAAAATGTAAATGGAAAAGTTTGTTGTCTTAGATATTAATAATCTCTAGGAACTGAAAACTCGCATCAAACTCTACTTTCTAGTTCCATATCTTGCAACTAAATTATGTAAACCTTTGATATTTCAATTTTAGTCTTTTTCATCTAACAGAATTCAAAGTTATAAATTTCAGAGGTCTACGACTTCGGGTTACCGAATAAAGGGATTAGTAGTCTGATTTTCTGATTCCTATATATAAAGGAATTGAGTCTTTGCAACAAACACTGATTTTCTAATTACTATATCATTGGAACCAAATGTTGAAGACTTAAGATATTTCAAACTATGAATTCTGTTAGATCAAATAATATGAGTTTGAAATTTCAAAGCTTTACAACATCGAGTTCTTTAGATATTGAGGTTTAAATCTATGATTTTGTTCCAAAGACTCAATTCCTTTGGCTTGTCTGTCTGTCTGTTTGTCTGTTTGTTTGTTTGTATCCAATAAACGTCAAAACGGCTGAACCGATCGGGCTTAAATTTTTTGTGGGACATCTAGGGAGCCCAGGGAAGGTTTATGAATGATCAAAATTTTAAATATTTGTCTCTATCAAAATTCGATCGTCATTAAATTTTTGAAAATTTTGAAAATCCACGAAATTTTTTGTGAAAATCCGCGAATTATTTTTGTTTTGTTTTACTATGTACAGAAAGAGAACATGTTCACAATTAATTTAGAAGATGGGCGCGAAGCGCCCTATAAGGCTAGTTCCTATATATGTTCAACCAAATATCGTAAATATAAATATTTCAAACTATGAATTATGTTACATCAAATTATCTAAGTTTGAAATATCAAAGTTTACCCTTTATGGAAATTTTAAGTTTCTTTTAAAAACTTATTTATTTTTTAGTGAGTTTGTTCCACCCCGGCCTATCGGCCCGGTACCGAAACCTTTCTCAGAAAAATCAAAATCACTAGTGTTGTCATCTTCTTCATCTTCTCCAGCTCCAGCTTCATCTCCAGCTCCATCTGCAATATACTCATTCCCATCATCTTCTTCAATATATTCCGAGTACAAGGAACAACAGGAAAGAAAACCAAACTTAATCATTTTTCTTCAGCACATATATTTAAAGATAAAACGATATAATTATGAAAAAATATTACAATTGGTAGGTTACATTTTTACTTTTTTTTATATATAACATTCTGCAACAAAAAGATATTCATTAGCAGCAATTCAAAAGTAATTGAATCTGAAATCAACGATTCGCGTCGATTTTTGGCAGTATGAAAATTGAATCATGATTAGACTATACAAATATTGACTTAAAGCAGCTGTGATCAAGGACAGCCCGATAAATATTCGTTTCAATTCGATTCAATATTCACATCATACATACACATAGAGAATAGAATATATATTAGAGTGGAATTTAGAGAATCTCTCGGTATGAATTTTTTCAGTCCCTTTCAGCCTGAAAGGGAGTTCAAAGTGTTAAAAAGGTAGACCACATTGTGAAAATGTCTGGACTAAGGTTATTTACAAGTTATGATTCTAAGCATGAAACACAGCACTTGGGAATTGTATAAACAACCCCATTTCACCTAATAAGTTAATTTTCTTAATGTTTTATTACAACATCCACTATATACATTATATTGTTTAAATGTAGCCTTTAAAATCACTGGATAATACAATAATACAATAATTACAATTTTTGTCAAATTTTGGTACATTAACGAGAAACTATTTTTGTGATGTATTTGTTGAAAATAAATGTTTTGGGAGCAAAGTATACATGAAACTGATGTTGTAAACATTAGTTATTTCAAACTTTAACAATTTGATCTTACAGAATTACATTGTTTGAAATATCAAAGGTCAACGACATAACGTTGCAAAGATATAGGGTTTAAAAAAATTTGTTTTTGGTAAGAATTCATAGCGATCTTTTCAAAGATACCATAATCATTATTAATTATTAATCAATATTGTATATTTTTAATTCAAATTTTAAGTAAAATAGTGGACATGCATTATTTGTGTTAGTGGCTCCCTATCACTAATCATTAAATGTAGAATAAACAAATACGTATTTTACATCTTACTTTCTTTTTTTATAAAAAGGTTCATCCAGGCTAAAATGGGATTCTGAGAAACATCTTTCTCTTTTCAAAAACTGCGTTTTCCTCTTGTTGTTATGTATTAATAGATTTTAATTAAAGTTTTTTTATTCTGATATGTAATCATAAGTTTCATAATTTTCCTACACAGTTTATTGCTTTCCACACATTGACAGTAAAAAAAAGTTTATTTTTGTTATTTAAACATTCCAACAGATTTAAACTTTTTCTAAATTAACTAACTAAAGGCCTAGTGTGGCCCGTTTCATTAAAAAAATAGAATTTTGATTTCGATTCTTTAGCTATACTAGTTATACTGAGTGTTTCTACTTTGTGAACAAAAAGTATCAAAAATAAATGAATTTTGCACAGAAACCACACATCGGCTTATATGCTTATATCATCGGTTTACGACCAACTAGTTTAAAATTGAATGCTTCCCAAAACAGGAAATAAAGTTTTCTTGTGTATCTACAGGATTCACTGTACTGGGATCAATATGGAGAAAGCTCAGATACTGTTAATGAGGTAATTTAATTTAAAATAATTATTATTAAAGGGACTGTAGGCGTAATTTCAAGTGAACCTCCGTTTGTAGATTGACATGTCCAATTTACTACGTGACTGCAGTATCCTTTAAATCACAACCTGAATAACGATGACGATTTTGTAGCTTGATGTTAGATTTTCAAGATTTCCCTCACAACTCTGAAACATTAACCGACAAGTAACTTTACAAAACAAAACCATTGAAGTTAATCCATTTTTAGCCAGAAAATATGAATATCTTACATCCTTCCTCAGATAAAAGTTTAGAGGGTTCCATTGTGAATCGTGAATTGTGCAACTTCAAAGGCCGGGTCACTTGAAATTGCCTGTACAGTCCCTTTAAACTCATTTATGGTTAACACGTTTTTTATCCAACAACTAATTTTCATGATATATTCATCATTTACTTTTAACAAAAAGACAAAACAGATTCGCTCCATTGATAAATTAAACTGAAAATTTACTTCTAGCAAAATCCCCTCAGATTTACACAACGGACCACTCAATAGCAAAATTCCCTTATATGTACACAACGGACCACTCTATAGCAAAATCTCCTCAGATGTACACAACGGACCACTCTATAGCAAAATCCCCTCAGATGTACACAACGGACCACTTTATAGCAAAATCTCCTGAGATGTACACAATTGACTACTCTATAGCAAAATCCCCGCAGATGTACACAACGGACCACTCTATAGCAAAATCTCCTCAGATGTACACAACGGACCACTCTATAGCAAAATCTCCTCAGATGTACACAACAGACCACTCTATAGCAAAATCCCCTCAGATGTACACAACGGACCACTCTATAGCAAAATCCCCTCAGATGTACACAACGGACCACTCTATAGCAAAATCCCCTCAGATGTACACAACGGACCACTCTATAGCAAAATCCCCTCAGATGTACACAACGGACCACTCTATAGCAAAATCTCCTCAGATGTACACAACGGACCACACTTGGTGTTTTGTGTACATCACGTTATAAAGTTCGTAACTAACACCATATATATTATATCTCTTGATTCTGCCCCTAGATCGCTGGAAATGAAGTTGGAAGCGACCAGGTGGAAGTTGGGGATTGGATTGCACAGTGGGACAAACAACTTCAAGCTTGGTAATAATAAAGAATGTCACACTTTTATTGTGTCAGTGTGCCCCATGCACTATTTCATTATGCATAGAGTTATCATATTATGTATTACATGTGTCTCACTGTTCTGGTATTAAGGATGTTCTACTGTTCTGGAATAAATGTGTCTCAAAGGGTATAAAGGGTGTCCCATACAATCTCAACTCTATTAGTATAATTATTCCATACAAAATAATTAATGAGTGCCACCAAGTTTACTCTAGAACATAGTTCTCCATTTTATTGCGGTTTGAAGGATGAACATGACTGTTGGTGCAACAGAACAAAAAGTATTCATTTCCTTGACACAAAATTGTACGTTGAAAATGGAAAAATCACAACAGATCTCTACAGAAAACCCACATATAGATTTATTTCTAACAACATACCTTTTTCATTTGTAGGGCTGGGCACGTTCCAACATTTTCTACAGTTAGTTCCAACTGTTAAAAAAGTAAAATTTCAAGTAGCTGTTAATTTTAAAGTTAAAAACCGCACGTTCGTTCGTTAACGGAATTTACTGTTTTTTTAATAATACCGTTAGTTAATGTTTTAAATTTTATTAACGGCGCTAACATAACATGTTCAACAACAGTTAACTGCCACAGTCTTTAACGGCATAAGAAATCGTTAAAAGCTCAGCCGTTAATGGTTAAGAGATTGAAAACAGAAGACAACATTTAAAACCTTCAAATCACGAAATTTTTATTTACAAGTTAAATGCAATCATAGGTCGAAAAAAATGAACGAAATTCACCGTTTAAAAAAAATCCGTTCCGTTTTCGTTTTTAGCTTTTATTTTTTTTTTCAATAACGGCTAATCCGTTCTGTTAAAGTTTTAAAAATTAACGTTTTTTTGTCGTAAGTTAACGGACACTTCCATTAATTTTCAAAAACCTCCGTTCTGTTAACTTTGCCCAGCCCTATAATCACTTGCATACAGAATTGTACGAATTTGCAGCAAACTAGAACTTAGGGATGCACAATTCTTAAAACTAAGGGATTTTCTTCTCAGCAGGGATTACAATTCATCAACTGTGGACTCTGCTATAGTCCGAGCTAAAGCTATACCTAGAGAAGTTGCTTTAAAAAAAGTGGAGAAGTCCTACTGTTCTGGTATAAATAGTGTCCCACTTTTCTGGTATAAATGGTGTCCCACTGTTCTGGTAAAATTGTTGTCCCACTGTTCTGGTATAAATGGTGTCCCACTGTTCTGGTATAAATGGTGTCCCACTATTCTGGGATAAATGATGTCCCACTGTTATGGTATAAAGGGTGTTCCACTGTTCTGGTATAAATGGTGTCCCACTATTCTGGTATAAATGGTGTCCCACTGTTATGGTATAAATGGTATCCCACTGTTCTGGTTTAAATGGTGTCCCACTGTAGTGGTATAAAGAGTGTCCGAAATGTAAATGGTATGCCACTGTCCCACTATTTTAAGAAAACGGGTGTCCCACGTTATGTCCCCCAATTGAGATATTAAAGGTGTTCTACAGTTTTAATGTTTTTAAATTTAATACAGTAGTACAGGGTGTCCCAAAAAACATGGGAATTCAGTGACGAATTTAATTACGAAAATTAAACCCCTTTATATAAGCAAAAATGCAAAAGTCATTTTTAAAAATACTTAAATTTCATCAAGAGAAACATTGATAGCTGATTTATTCTTGATTAAACAACTATAGCTTTTACGAGGACTGTTGTGGATTGAGCATAACATTTATAAAATGGAGGTTTACCTGAAACTATTTGTACAATCCTTTTTAGCATAAATATTGAGACAATTATTTTCATTTCCATATTTCCATTATCCATTGCTATAAACTATCCCTTCCAGAACTACGACACCAAGGTTGCTGGAGAAAATTCTATAAATTTTGACCGAACATCAGCAGGAATTAAACAGGTATATCACAGTTAATTAAACATAATGGAGTTATGGAGATATCGGATATCGTAGGGGAATTCTGTGGTATTCTATAATTTAGTGAGGGAGTTCTGTAGATTGGTATTTTTCTTGTTAAGTAGGGGATTACTGTAAATTGGTATTTTGATGTTAAGTAGGGGAGTTCTGTAGGTTTTCTATTTTTCTTATGAAAGTAGAGGAGTTCTGTAGATTAGTAATTTATTTTTGAGTAGGGGAGTTCTGTAGATTTTTATTTTCTGAAAAAGGGGAAATTTTAAAGTTTTAGATTTTGTGCAAAGGGATTGGGTTCTGTAGAATTTAAAAAGGGGTATTTCTGTAGATTTATATTTTCAGAATTAGTGTGGAAATTTTTAGAATATTTTCTGTCAAAGCTGGGGAGCAGAAGCGCGCACTGTTAATTTCTATTTTCTAATCAATATGGAAGTTTTGTTAATTAGTATTTTTTCAATAGAAAAGTGTTTTTCTGTTTTTTTATCTTGAATGTAGTTTTGTAGATTTCTATTTTTCTAGAATCTAGGAGTATTTTGAATGCAGTTTTGTAGATTTCTATTTTTCTAGAATATAGGAGTATTTTGAATGCAGTTTTGTAGATTTATATTTTTCTAGAATCTAGAAGTATTTTGAATGTAGTTTTGTGGATTTCTATTTTTCCCAGAATCTAAGAATATTTTGATTGCAGTTTTGTAGATTTCTATTTTTCTAGAATCTAGGAGTATTTTGAATGTAGTTTGTAGATTTATATTTTTCTAGAATCTAGGAGTATTTTGAATGTAGTTTTGAAGATTTCTATTTTTCTAGAATCTAGGTGGAGCTCTAGAAAGTTGGACTGAAGGCAGTGGGAACAGAAAATTACAAAATCTTATCAAAGGTAATTAATTCATGTTGAGGAATTGAGTCTTTGTCACAAACTCTGATTTTTGATTTCTATTTTTCTAGAATCTAGGAGTATTTTGATTGCAGTTTTGTAGCTTTCTATTTTTCTAGAATCTAGAAGTATTTTGAATGTAGTTTTGTAAATTTATATTTTTTTAGAATCTAGGAGTGTTTTGAATGTAGTTTTGTAGATTTATATTTTTCTAGAATCTAGGAGTATTTTGAATGCAGTTTTGTAGATTTATATTTTTCTAGAATCTAGGAGTATTTTGAATGCAGTTTTGTTGATTTCTGTTTTTTCTAGAATCTAGGAGTATATTGAATGTAGTTTTGTTGATTTCTATTTTTCTAGAATCTAGGAGTATTTTGAATGTAGTTTTGTAGATTTCTAATTTTCTAGAATCTAGGAGTATTTTTAATGCAGTTTCGTAGATTTCTATTTTTCTTGAATCTAGAAGTATTTTGAATGTAGTTTTGTAGATTTATATTTATCTAGAATCTAGGAGGAGCTCTAGAAAGTTGGACTGGAGGCAGTGGGAACAGAAAACTACAAAATCTTATCAAAGGCAATTAATTCATGTAATTCAATTCTAAATAGTTATAAATATAAATTTGACTTCTAATTAATATATCAAATATTGAAAATGTTATTGTAAAAATAATTCTAAAATTACATTTTAATCATTAAATATTCTACTTTTTTTTGTCTAGTTTTGATTTTTATTCGACTTTTTATTACTCCTTTAAATCTCTGATATTCTAATCCTTATTTTTTGCAACCAGATTTCGTAGAACTTTGATACTTGCTTTGCAGTCTTCATATTTTAAAATATGAAAGGTATATGACATCAGGTGGCAAAGATATAAAGATTAAAAAACAAGAGTCTGATCAGTTAATTTCTGTAAATTTTTGTAAAACTACAGGCTTACCCACAAAGAATGAGACTTCAGAGACGACTGTGCGGAATATATATTGTCTGTTTCCTTATATTTATAATTCCCTGCAACTGTATACACATGTTTCTTCTTTGTCTTATCATGAAATAACAGGGCAGAAGATTAAAATCAACCATTAGATTTTAAGAGATTTAGATTTTTTGAGTATTTCTGTACTTTCCTGGCCAAATTTAATGAATAGCGATCAAAGTAGTTGAACTGAACTAGAAGACTAAGTTAAACCACTTGAACCACTAGTGTGAGTTGAACAGAAGTGGTTCAACTTAGGCTTAACTTAACTTAGTTCAACTACTTAAATACAGATTTTCCCTGGAAGATCCTCCATGACTATGTTTGTTAAGAGCAAAAAATATTTAAACTATTTTGCATAAGATAAAATAGCACCCTGATCTCTAATAGTTCTCATCAAATCTATTTAATTGAAATGTTTTGTTATCATTATTGAAATAAGGTGGAAAAAATAATTAAAACTGCCAAGAGCTATTTCCACCTAATTGCTTTATACTATAAGTACTGTTAAAATAATTATCAATTTGTAATTGTAAACTCTTTCTGTACACAGATATTTCAGAAATAAAGTTTATCTATCTATCTTATAGATTACTGGTTATGGTTTGCTACCGGAGTTGTAGCTCTCACCTATGCTTCAGGAAGAAAAAGACGATCTGTAGATCAGGTAGATTTAGAATTTTAGTATAGTTTAATCCAGAACTTCAGGAAGGAAAAGACGATCTGTAGATCAGGTAGATTTAGAATTTTAGTATAGTTTAATCCAGAACTTCAGGAAGGAAAAGACGATCTGTAGATCAGGTAGATTTAGAATTTTAGTACAGTTTAATCCAGAACTTCAGGAAGGAAAAGACGATCTGTAGATCAGGTAGATTTAGAATTTTAGTACAGTTTAATCCAGAACTTCAGGAAGGAAAAGACGATCTGTAGATCAGGTAGATTTAGAATTTTAGTATAGTTTAATCCAGAACTTCAGGAAGGAAAAGACGATCTGTAGATCAGGTAGATTTAGAATTTTAGTACAGTTTAATCCAGAACTTCAGGAAGGAAAAGACGATCTGTAGATCAGGTAGATTTAGAATTTTAGTATAGTTTAATCCAGAATCGAAATCGAAATACTTTATAAAATGTCGCATTTCTTAATTTACTGATAATGGAATTCTGCAGATATTTAGCTTTTAATTAAAAATTCACATGGAGCTCTTTAAAACTGTATCCGCATATTTTATGGCTATTTATTTATTTTTACAATTAATGAGATATTTTAATAGTATAAAACCCATTGAAAAATGTTAAAGACGACATTTTATGAATATCTCGATTTTTCCAAACTGATCAAATTGGACAAAAGAGTAGAGTCTAAAATTTTCTAATCCCTATATCTTTACAGCCTGATGGCCCAAGCATTTAATATTTTAACTTAATTTTTAAATTTTTAATTAATCTACCAGAATTCAAAGTTAAAATATCTAAGGTCTACGACCTTCGGTTGCACAGATATAAGTGATTAGAAAAACAGAGTTTCTTGTTAAGACTCGATTCCTTTGACGCCAGAGTTTTAATTTCATTAATTAGCTTAAAAAATTGAAATGAATAAACTACTAAAAAAAAAGAAAGTAACTCATTCTTACCACAAACTCTTATTTTCTAATTCTTATATGTTTGCAATGCAGTTTTGGCGACCTTAGATATTTCAAACTATTAATTCGATCTGTTAGATCAAATAATCTAAGTTTAAAATATCAAAGGTTTACACTATCAGGTTGCAAAGATATAGAAATTTGAAAACTTGAGCTTGTGGCAAAGACCAAATTCCTTTATCATTGAAAAATGCTGTGATATCGTCCTTCGCTGATCGCTGATTTGTAATTTAATTAGAACTATCATGTTGAAGCAAAAACATTAAAAAAAGTCCCAGGAACCAAAACCTCTGTACTTTATTTCCATTAATATTTTGTCCCAAGACAAATTGGGATTTTTTTACCAAAGTGTTTATATATTTCCAGGTTTTATCAAGAAACTGTTTTCCGGTGACTTTCTTACATAGATTCCTATTCATATAATGTAACTACCTCAGTATTTCTATTCATATAATGTAACTACCTCAGTATTTAAGAAAAATTACGTCTAAAAGTTGTCGATGCATTCATGTGCTTTGGGGACGACTGTGTTAAATTAATTAGTGTCTAATACCAGGACTTAACTTTCTTTATTAAATTTAGAAACCTTGGACCGAGGAGGAAGTTTATGTGGAGCCCAGGATTTCAAGGTAAACTTATCCTTCCTTGGCCTTACTTGAGAAGAAATAAATGTCAAGGTATATTAGAGGCTACAACTATTGAAATTATACCTTCTATAATTTTTTTTCCAGACGTTTACACAGTCACATTATTTTTAATATAAAATAATTGCAGGGATTGGAACACTCTGAAGAAACGAATCCATCTTTAAAAAACTGTTTTAATGGAAAAAAATTGTTAAAATATTTATGTCGTAGATCAAGCACCCCTGACCCTTCAGTAAAAGTAAATTCAAACTAAAGTCTAACCGCGTCAACCTTATTGCACTGGCTAGTCCTATTGAGTGTCTGCTTTATTTACCCAATGTCTGGGCGATATAGTACAAACTGGGACCGGAAAGGTTGACCCGGCTCGGAAATTTAAATGTTCTGCGGCTGCTATGTGTACACCTTTGGTTTCTGATAAATCAATTAGTTTGAAACATTAAAGGTTAAACCACCACAATGATAAAGAGATAAAAAAGGTTGTTAATAGTTTTGCCTTATAATCCACAGATTATCAAAAATGTCAAACAACAAAAATTAAAAAATTTAGAATAATTAAAACCATGAATATTCTTGTTCCTTCCCTCAGGTTTTCTTCTTCAAAATATTTGATAATTTTCCTTGAAGAGTGCAGATGGAAGAACAGACAGTACGATGCCAAGAATAAGAATGTAAACAAACCTAAATATTTTTGGAATCTATATATGTAGTACAGTTCTTCGTATTTATCGCTAAACCCTTTTTTTAATCTTCCAACCAGGGACCCTTTATTCTTCCAACCAGGGACCCTTTACTCTTCCAATCAGGGACCCTTTACTCTTCCAACCAGGGACCCTTTACTCTTCCAACCAGGGACCCTTTACTCTTCCAATTACGTACCCAGTTTTTTACAAATCAGGAACATTTTATTCTTCCATGCAGTCAGGGTCCCTTTATTTTTCCAATCAGGGTTCCTTTTCTCTTTCAATAAGGGCTATTTACTCTTCCAACCAGGAGCTCTTTACTCTTTCAGCTGGAGACCCTTTACTCTTTCAGCTGGAGACCCTTTAAAATTTACTTTTTCAAACAGGGTCCCTTTATTTTTTAAATCAGAGGCCTTTTATTCTTCCAATCAGGGACCTTTTATTCTTCTAATCAGGGACACTTTACTCAACAATTCAGGGCCCCTTATCTCTTCCAATCAAGGACCCTTTACTCTTCCAATCGGGGTCCCTTTACTCTTCCACTTGGGAGCCCTTTACTCTTCCAATTAGGGTCTCTACTAAGTTTTCGCGAACAATACCTTTATTGTTAAAAACTTTTTTATCTCCTGTCTCTGGCATGTATAAAAGTTGTAAGTTAACTAAAAAGTTTTAATATATCATCAAAACTTTATACCACAATAAAAACTTTTAGCAAATTTGTTAAAACAATATGGTTGCAAAAATTTCTGGTAATGCAATTAACGTCAAATCTTAAAAGTGCCATAGAAATGAAATAGTTCTAGAGAAAAAGATATATCTCCTACAGTTACATCTCATGAATTTTTCTTTTTTCTTTTTTTTAATGAAAAACGTTAAATATACCGTATTTTTTTACTCTCAGCTATTTTTAGCACTCTCCGCTATTAAGCAGTTAAAAAGTGAAATTAATCAGTGTACAAAACCGTAACGCCATTCAAATCTCTACGCAAAGTTACAATGTTACAATGTTACGAGTATCTTATACATACCTGACAAGTTCAACTCGAAAAGCTGCAGAATCTAAGTCCAGAATGAGACTTGAGGAGTAGGATGAGAGGAATCCAAGAAAAACCAAACCAAATAATTCAACACGAGGCAGTCCAGGATTTCTGAATGAAACCAGGGTCAATATAGTTTAACAAATTTGTTCTATCCGAAGTCATTTTTGACCCAGAAATTTTTTTTCCTGTCCCAACAATTTTCACATGGTTTTAATTTTTTTCCCAGCAATCTTATTCTTTGTCCCAACTCCCAATAATTTCATGTGATTTGACAAAATGTCATTATTACGTCCCAAACGGCCATTTTCGTATTATCCAATTTTGGACTGGCTTTTTGACATTATATTGTCGCCTCAGATCCAAACCAAAGAATTTCACATAAATGGTAATCCACATATGAGATTATGAAAGTTTCTAAAAAAATGAAAACTTAAAAATAAATTTGAAAAGCAGCTTTCTGGGTTTTACTATTTTAGAATTTGAGAACTCTAAATTGGAAAAAATGCAAAGTCATGAACATCCAATTTGCTCCTTTTATTTTCAGAATTAGATTAGTTTTTTTTGCGTTGTAACTTCAAGGTTGTCTGCAAAGTATTTATTATTGATCAAAATGAAATGTCACATTCATTAAAGTTAGTTGTTCTTAGGATTGATCTCTAATAGGAAAATAAATGAAAGGGTCAACAGAGTGCAGGGTCTACTACAGGGGCGGTATTGGGCTGCAGAGTGCAGGGTCGACTACAGGGGTAGTATGGGGGCTGCAGAGTGCAGGGTCGACTACAGGTGTGGTATGGGGGCTACAGAGTGGAGGGTC